GTGTCTTACTTAGGGTTTTACTGCTGTGAACAGACATCATGACCAAGGCAACTCTTATAAGGACAACATTTAATTGGAGCTGGCTTATAGGTTCTGAGGTCAAATTATCATCAAGGCGGGAGCATGGCAGCATCCAGGCAGGCCTGACACTGGAGGAGCTGAGAATTCTACATCTTGATCCAAAAGCAGACAGAAGACTGGCAAAGCCCACCCCACAGTGACACACTTCCTCCAACAAGGCCACACGTATCCCAACAAGGACATACCTCTTTAATAGTGCCACTCCCTGTTGATCAAGCATTCAAACACTTGGGGGCCAAACCTATTCAAACCACTATAGCAAGTGTAATTGTGCCCTAATTTCTTTCTATGCAAGTTCATTATTACTATGTAGAAAAGCTACTAATTTTTCTGCTGATTTTTGTGCAGGATAGTTTTATGTCATCTGAAAAGAGGGAATCTCAAGTTTAAAAAAAAATGCCTACATAAGATGAGACTGTAGGCAAACTTCTAGGACATTTTTTTAAATTAGTGATTAGCACAGGAGAGCCCAGCCTATTATGGGTGGTACCATCCCCCAGCTAATGGTCCTGGGTTCTATAAAAAAAGCAGTCAGAATAAGCCAGGAGGAGCAAATCAGTATCACCCCTCTGTGTCATAGGACCTAGTGTTAGGTAGGTCCCTGTACTGGCTGGTTTTGTGTGTCAACTTGATACAACCAAAAATCATCAGAAAGAAAATAGGCTCAGTTGAAGAAATGCCTGCATGAGATCCAGCTGTAAGGCATTTTCTCAATTAGTGATCAATGAGGGATGGCCCAGCCTATTGTGGGTGGTGCTGTTCCTGGGCCAATGGCCCTGGGTTCTATAAAAAAGCAAGCTGAGCAAGCCATAGGAAGCAAGTCAGTAAGCATCACCCCTCCATGGCCTCTACATCAGCTCCCGCCTCAGCTTCCTGTCTGAGTTTCTGTCCTGACTGTCTCTCATGATGAACAGTGATATATAAGTGTAAGCTGAGTGAACCCTTTTCTTCCTAAGTTGCTTTGGTTATGGTGCTTCACCACAACAGTAATAACCCTAACTAAGACAATTTAGTTGTATTATCTGGATACCTGGCTAAAAGTATTAAAACTCTTAAAGAGTTTTTTAGTGGGGTCCTTAGTGTTTTTTAAGTTTAAGACCATGCCTTCTACAGATATGAATATATCTGATATATAGAATATATAGATTCTTTCCTTTCCTCTTTGTATTCCTTTCATTTCTTTCCCTTGCCTTACTTTCTAAAAGTTAAAGAATCAAGCAATGTGTTGATCAAAAAGGAAGAAAAGAGATGCCTTTGTCTCATTCCTGATTTTAGAGGACATACTTGGAGTTTTTCCTCATTTAGTATAGTATTGCCGTAAGTTTTTATTTATTAAGGTATTCTCTTCTATTACTACTTCTTCTGGGATTTTATCATGACGATACATTGAAATGCGACAAAGGTCTAGTTGGATGGGTAATGAGTTGGTCTGACCATGGCTTCCCTTTCCTGGGAGACTATTATTGTCTGAGTCTCACTGCTCATTACATGTAAGTTGTCTACACCCTCCTGACTTGATTTCGATAGATCATACAGGGCTAGGAATTTATCTGTTCCTTTTAGTTTTTCTATGTTTTTAGAATACGTTTTTAAAGTATTTCCTAAAGATCATCTGAGTTTTGTTGGTGTCTGTTCTAATGTTTCCTTTCAAAATCTGTGATCATTTATTTGGGTCTTCCCTTGGCTGATGTTTGACTTTTTTTTTTTTTTTTTTTTTTTTTTACATTTTCAGAGTTCCAACTCTGTTTCATTGATTCTTTATTTTGTTCCTTTAGTCTCCATTTCATTAATTTCTACCCTAATAGTATCTCTTTCCATTTATTCCTTTGTGTTTGGCTTATTCTTGTTTCTCTACCATGTTAAGGTGCAGTGTTATCTATCTGTATTGTTGCTGTTTGTTATGTAAACACACCTGTATTTGTAAACGTTCTTCGTAGACATCTCTCTGCTTTATCCCAAAGGTTGTAATTGGTTGTATTTTTATTCTAAGAAGTTTTAATTGCTGATTTCTGAATGATCCGCTGATCATTCAAGAGTATATTACTCAATCTGCACGTATTGTCATAGTTTCTACTATTTATTTCTCATGTTAGCCCATCACTATCTGATAATACAAAAGAAATTAGTTGAATTTTGTGAATCTGTTAAGACTATCTTTTATGATTTGATTCTGAAATGTCACTCATAGGTTCATGTGTCTGAACACTTGGTGTCTGTAATATAAATTTATAATCCTAACAAGCCTATATGAAAGACACAATCCAGGTATTTTATTTACAAGCTATAAGCCTAGACTGGGCAGGGCTGGGGCTATACTAACTTATTCCCTTGTTATAGGTCTCTTGTTACTTGCTGTTTCTCCTGGCCATGCAGTTCTGGTCCATGGCGGTTGCTTCTTCCTTCTCCATCTTCCTCTCCTCTTTTTATTTTTTTCCTCAAAATTCCAGTTCCACCTTTTCCTCCACCTGCCCAATCACAGTCTCTATCCTTTTATTGACCAGATACATTGGGATTAAGGTTCATATGGCATCACTTTGTGTGACCTGCTCATCAGGAACAACCCCATCTTGAGGAACCAATATTTAGCATTAGAATACAAGCAGCATCAGACCAACCCACTACAGGTGTCCCTAGCTGGGGGACAATGTTTGGGAACATTTTAGAACCTTTAGGAAGTAGATCTTTACTGTGAATTCCTGGGAACTCTCTTGAGGTTTAATGACCCAGCCTCACTTCCTGCTCACATCTGCACACGATGTGACTGACCAACATCATGCTTCCGCCACTACCATGATGCCATTTGTTTTTACTATTGTGATGGACTCTAATTCTCTGCATTGATAAGCCAAAGTAAAAGTAAGCCCTTTCTCTCTTAAATCACTTTTGTCAGTATATTTTATCACAGAAATGATAAAGGAACTAAGATCATGTTATGGACAAAACTGTGTTCCATGGAATGCTGAGAAGAATCTCCAGTGTGCACACCAATAGAATATCTGGTCTATTTGATCTAGGATATAATTAACTCCAAAGTTGGCTGTTTTCTGACCTATTTGGTCATAGTTATTGAATCAGTGATTATTTTTATGTCTGGCCCCCTATATGCAATAGTGCTTGTGTTGAAGAATTGGATATCAGTGGATGGTATGTAAATTTGTAATTGCTATATCTTTTGTCTCCTCTGACCAATCTTTCCTTCTAGTCTACTTTGTTAGATATACAGTATGGCTTGGTTTTAGTTGTCACTTTCCAGCTTGTCTTGTGTCCCTTTGTTTGCAATACAGTTTTTCAACCTCTTGTTTTCAGCTCATCATTGTCTATGAGACATTTCTTGGATTTTTTTTTTGTTTGGTCAACTGGTTGGTTTGGTTTGCTTTGGTTTTTGTTTTTTTTTTTTTTTTTTTTGCATTCGCTGGTTTGCTTTGCTTTTATTTTTGTTGGTGCTATTGTTGTTGTTTATTTGGTTGGTTTGGGTTTTTTGTTGTTTTTTTTTTTCAACCAGCTTATCTTCACCTCTTAGGGGGAAGTGTTAAGTGCATTTACATTAGGCTGTTATTACTTACTGATGCTTGTAATAATATTTTTAAGTTGATTCAAGTATAGTTCCTTTACTTTCCCATATCCATCATAAAGTTTTTTCTGATCTGCTAAAAAGATGATTAATTTCTTCTGTGTTTTTATTTATTTCTCTTCTTGTTCTCGTGAAATTTATTCTAGCATGAGCTCTTGTTAGTATTTTTTCTCTCTGTATATAATTTCCTTATGTTTAATCTGCAGTATGTTGCCATGTTAGGTTTGTTTATTTATTTGTGCTTATCTTAGAAGGTCTTTATTTCCTCATCACTTTTAAAAGATGATTTTGCTGGGTATAAAAATCTTAGTTGTCAGGGCTGTTTACATTTAGGACTTGAAGTACATCCTTGCATGCCTCTGTAGCAGTTAGGGTTTCTGCCTAGAGGCAAGAGAAATTTGCCTTTGTAAGTGAGTTGTCATTTTCCTCTTGCAAGTTTTAACATTGTTTCTTTGCTCTGAAATCTTTTTAATTTTATTTAGGTAAGTCTCATTATGTTGCCCTGGTTGGCCTGAAACTTTTTACCTAGACCAGGCTTGCCTTGAACTCACAGAGATCTGTCTGCCTCTGCTTCCCAGCCAAGGTAGGTGTCGATAGAAATGAAAAGTTTGGAGAAAGTCATTCTGAATGACGTCACTTACTGAATCATGATGTTTCCTAGGGAATGACTCACTTTAGAAAATTAATTTTCGCTGGGTGGTGGTGGCGCACGCCTTTAATCCCAGCACTTGGGAGGCAGAGGCAGGTGGATTTCTGAGTTCGAGGCTAGCCTGGTCTACAGAGTGAGTTCCAGGACAGCCAAGGCTACACAGAGAAACCCTGTCTCAAAACAAAAAAAAAAAAAAAAAACAAAAAAATTAATTCTCAGATAGATTCAATCTAGAGACAAATGGGAAGCATTTGATAATTACAAATTAAGCCTGAGGCTGGCTTCAAATAAGTGATATTGGGGCACTGACACCTAATTTCTCTCTCTCTCTCTCTCTCTCTCTCTCTCTCTCTCTCTCTCTCTTCTTTCTTAGACAGGATCTGTGGAGCTCTGGCTGTCCTGGAGCTCGCTATGTAGACCTGGCCTCAAATTCAGAGATCCACCTGCCTCTACCTCCCAAGCGCTGGGACTTAAGGCATGAACTACTATGCCTTTGTTTCTCTTTAAGTCTTGGGCCATCTATATGAACAGCAAAACCAAAGACATTGAGAAAGTCAAAATGACAGTGAACTGGGTGTGTGGTGGGGAGAGGGGTAAAGATTCCATTTGGAAACTTTTGAAACCATAGTAACTGCATTCTTTCCACATGGATCACTACATATTAATAAAAGTTCTGCTCATCTCTTTCCTCTTTTGTAGATGAGGACCACCCGCAAGGTTTCTGTCTGGCCTGTGGGCCTAGTTGGCGGACGACGCTATGAACGTCCATTGGTGAAAAATGGCAAAGTTGTTGGCTGGTACACTGGATGGAGAGAAGACAGGCCTTTTGCCATCGACATGGCTGGTGAGCAAATATGCATGGGACATTTGTCCCTGTTGGATGGGGCCTAGAGGAAGCTGGGAAAGACCAGTTTGCATAGATCCCTTGAATGTACCTCATTCATCCGAAGAACTATTTGAATATTCAAAATCGGTTCTTTGGTGGTTCAAGTTGAAGTTGAGTTTGGAAGTGGTTAGAAAATAGCCATTCCTCTCTACCCTTTGGTCTCACAAATGTTCATGCTTCAGTATTGGGTTGGGCTTGGGGATTTAGAGATAATGGAGCCATGGCTCCTACCTACATGTAGTCTACTAGCTACACCTTTTGGTGCCTCTGTCTAGAAAACCGATACATTAAAATATGTCATGCTTATTGACAAGTTTGGTAAAAAATTAAACTTGGCAAAGTCATTTTAATGTTTATTGATAAATTTAGTGGTTTGCTAATATATTTGAAAAGCTAAAACATAAAATTGGGTTCTGATCTTCGACACATCCATTTTTTTTTCTTTTGAAGAGAACTATCTTTGAAAGTTTTCATTTCCTGACCAACCAAGTGAATCAAAGTAGACCCATGTGGACCACAAAGTTTTCAAACACTGCTTTGTCAGGAAGGGATTCATTTTCAGTGGGCTGTTGGAACTGATGTTCCTGATAGCTGTACCAGGATGAGGTATGGAACCTGAGGGTAAGAGGAGAGATGATCGCTACAATCAGTAGCTGACAAGATGGAGAGAAAGCTTTCAGAATCGATTGCATCCATCACGAGCACTGTCTTGGGTTCTACGGCTTTCATGTGTATTTGCCAACCACAGTCAGAGCCTCTGTGCTCAGAAGGCATGAATACAATGCTCTAAACTGGACTCGCCACTTTTATTCTGATACTATGAATTTTGAGGATTACAATACGATTGTAAAGAATATTAGAAGTTGAGAATGAAATGCTCACAAATGGCTACCATGGTGTATTTGTCACAATGCATCATAGGAAAAGACAGATGAGTTTTGGGCCTCATTTCACAAAAGAACATAAAGGAAGATATTTGCCATGGTCTCTGGCACCTTGGCTAATCTAGATCCCTTGTTCCTGCCCCATGGCCCAAATCCACTGTCCATATTCCTACGTTTTAGTTCTTAAAACCTCAAAGCTATGCTTGCACTTCAGCTGAATCATTTAGCTGGAGCAGTTGAGAGGTAGGTGAGCCATGCTTGGGAGAGTGTGATGATTCTTTTTTGTTTAAAATAAAAATGTTAAGAACTCCATCTATTTCATTCTCAACTACCCCATCCAGCAGGGCATTAAATAGGGGTCTGGGGAGGTCACCTGAAAGAGAGAATGGGGAAACAGGCAGATGCAAAGAATGACGGCTTGTCAATAGGCTGATCAAACTGTAATTTTTACTTTTTCACACAGGGGTTATATACATAAAAAGTCAGGACATGGGGAAGGGGATGACACCAGAGCGTAGGTGTTCAGGGGGAGTATAGATATCTTTCAGAACAGGATATTGGCTGGGTGAAGGTTCAGGGGACAGGTCACTATGTCTCTGCCTATGATTCACTTGTCCTTACCTAAGTTGGTACTATCCACCAAGGCTACCCAAGGTCTACGACTATCCACAAGACCTATGACTACTTGTTCTTATCCAGGCTGGTAAATTTCCACCAAAGCTGCCTGTTTACAATATCTTATAGCTATCTGTTTCAGTGTTTTTCCACAGAGACCCAAGACTTTGTGTTAGCAGGCTGACTTAGGCCTATTGCTGATTTTAGGCCTTCAGTGTATAAGCAAGGCTGCCTCTGACACTCAACATTCCTTTGCCCCCTCTAATTGCTTCAGTGACCCCCAATTCATGACCTCTTCTTTAATTACTACTGTTACATGTATGTGTGTGTGTGTGTATGTGTAGACATGTATATACAAACCACTGAGTCTTTTTAGCATTGCTTGTATGTACATGTGTCCTAGGCTGAGCAATTGGTATTGGACACTTATGCAGCAGCTTATCCCTATAGCAAACTAATTCTCCCTCTCAGTAGCCGATGATTACCTGTGGGGTGGAGCCACATGCAATTCTTCTGTCCACATTGGCATATCAGGGATGTTGTTATTATGTTGGCCTTGTTCAGTCAACTGTACAGTTGTCAGTTCATGGGTACACTTCCCCTGTCATGTCTAGGAAACACTAACAGCTGGCATCTTGGGCCTTTGGATCTAATGATCCTTTCACCCCCTCTTCTGCATTTCTCTTAGGTGTAGGGTTGCACTGCAGATATATCATTTGGGGTTAGGCATTCCATAGTCAGTTATTGATCCTAAGGATTCATAAGAGTCCTTTCCCATCCAGTCTCATCCGTGGCTCTAAAAATTCAAGGCTAAACATCATGAGTGTTAAAAAAAAAACCAAAACTGAATATGTTTTTCACTATGATCTAAGCTAGAATAGACAACTTGGAGAAACCAGGAAAAGTCCTTCCATTTCTCTGGGACACAGTGTCCTCCTGTGGCAAGAGAGGTGGTTACATGAGAGTCCCACTGCCTGCCTACTCCCAGTGCCACACCTTGGTAAACACAAAGAGAGGTTACATGCTGGCCATGCAAGTGACAATTCACCACTCCGAGAGAAGCCAGCTGATATACGTTTGGTCCTGAACATCCACGGATCTTGTCTCAGGACCAGCCCCAGATAGCTTTCAGGATGCACATGACCTTGCATGAGTAGTTTGGTGAGGGCAGCTTGGATAATTCCTAGTGCTCTTTTCCAAATAGGTATTTCTGAAATTCAAGGAAGACACACTGGGAGCTTTAACTGCAAGACCTGAGAGATATTTTCACTGCTAAAATTCTATGGAAATGTTTTCCCTGTCACATGACCACTGTTTGGACTTTTCCGCCCATTTCAATACATTTCCAAACCACAATGAAATGTGCATATCGTAAAAATGTCTTGTCTACCTGTTGTCTTGGAGTTCTTACTTAAAATAGGTGTACCATGTCACCTTTAAGAAAACTGCACATCCCACATGAATTTGCTCTGCATCTTAATTTTCAATAAATTATTGATATTTCTGGAAGCCCAGAAATGTGGGTGATCTGGTTGGTAAGATAACAAAAGTCTGGGTTTGAAGAAGTCTTCCCTCATTCTGAAACTTTAAAATGCTCATCTTGGCTTAGAGTTTACTTGTGTAGTCTCCATAGGAATAGGGAGCAGAGTTCTGAGGTCCGTAGATCCATGTATTAGGTGCATTCTTTCTCATTTTCACATTAGTATGGAGAGGGAGGGGAGAAGAAAAGGGGAGGAGAGAGAATGAATGAATGAATATGAAAATGAATGAATGACTATGAGAATGGATGAATGAGAATGGATGAATATGAGAATGAATGAATAGATATGAGAATGAATGAAATAATGAATATGAGAATGAATGAATATGAGAATGATGAGAATGAATGAATGAATGAATATGAGAATGAATGAATGGATATGTGAA